ACAAAACCTTAGCTACTTAATAAAAAGAGGTGGAGCTATTTTAAGGTGGTGTCGCAAACTAAGAAAAGAAAAAAAGCCAAAAAAATAGAGAAAAAATAGATAAGGGAGTGTTGGTTAAACAGAAGTCGATCCGTGATTCGATTGAGTTGAAATTTTGTTAGCAAGTTTACGATTGAGAGTTTTACATTCTGAATTGTGAAGATCGGGTTTAAAGCTCTCTAGAACAAATCCAATGTGTATTTGTTGACTTACTTATTTTGTGAGATTTCTCTAATTGTCTCTCTCTAGTTGTTAATTAGCTCTAATTTTAACTAGAAAAAATTTTGTATATCTATTATTTAATAGTGAAGTTTTTTCTGGTGGTCCATGATTTTTCTCTCTACATTGGAGGGTTTTTCATGTAAATCTTAGTATGTATTATTTTTCTTGCATTTTTTATTATTGATTGTTGTCTATTGTTATCTATTGTTGTGGGTTTATTGTGATATATTACTTCTGTGTTATTATGTTTATTGCTTCAGATCCAACAAAAATAGCTTCATAACCAATGACCCTTTGTGATTAAGAACACACGAACGAGAAAGTAAGGACTAAAATAACTATATTAACAAGTTCAAAAAGAAGAAAACAAATAATCATAATTTTAATGTTTTTGAAAAAAATACTTACTATTGCAGCATCTTTTATGGTTTGGATAACCTTAGGCATCATGGATCTAACCTCTTCAGGGGTTTTGCCTTGAAACAAGGCATAATTGTAGTCATTTCCTCCAATCTCGCCAACCATGAAAAGAGCGTTTTTAAGCTTCTTGAAGCAATCTATCGAGCATAACATGAATTAAGTATTGTTAGTTTTTATAATTGAGTGATCCCACTCTTTTCAAACAACAAACATATCATGAGATTAAGAAAATTGTTGGCAAACTATTCGAAAGAGGTGATAATGCTAACCTTCATCATTGCGACATATTCCATTGAAATAGGTAAACATCTAATCAAGTTGCCTGCTAAGAGAACTTTTGGTAACTGGGGCTAGAACTCTATTCTCAGCTAAAATTTCCACGGGGAAGGCAGTAGAGCCTGCAATCGCGAAATTCACCCCATGACCACGAGACAATGCTTCACTGTTCAAGTAGGGGTTGAGGAATGGGATTCCAGCAGATTGAGCTGTCAAAAGTACAATTACAACACCAATCAGTCAATAGGTTATAAACAACAAATTCCAGACTAATGTCATGAACTTTTTGGTGGATTGGCCACATTGTTGTTGATTCTCTACCTTTCTTTTTCCAAAAGTTTATGAAAGAAACATGTTATTTCTACATTAAAAAGTAGTATGAGTTGCTGATCACCATGCATGTCATTATTTTCAATATTTATACCAATCGAATGATCGAGAGCCACTGGTCAGTCAAAAAACAAAACGAGACATAATTATGAAAAACAAATTTGTTACGTTACCTAAATAATCAATCATTAGTAAGCCATTGAAGCATCTCCCTGTTGCATTCTTGAAGAAGGTTTGACCGTAGGGAAGCCTTGCAAAAGGAGATAAAGGGTCCTCTCGGATCAAATTGCCTGTATCGGATATGGAATCCCCGAGCTGAAACATGGCATCAAAGCTGTAAGCCTTAAGAGTACCTGCAGCTGCAGCATGGCACGAAGAAGAAAGAAGAACAAGAAAGAGGAAGCTGAAGACAACAACTTGAGAAGGGTGCGAGGAAGCCATAGGAAAGAGAGAAACAGGAATCTCGGAAGGAAATTATGGGTATTTGACTATAGAGATTGTTGAAGCACTGCCTCGGGCATGTGTTATTTATACAGGGAATATTTCCACTCCTAGTTGGAGTAGTACTACTATTCCTATTACATCAAGGTTTAAGAAAACAAAGCCTAGGCCGTTTGGATAATAATATATAATTATGGTGTAATGATACAATTAGAGGACTTATAAATTTTTTATCTTTTATTCGGAGAAAAATTAGAATAGAGTACTATTTTTCTTAGTTGGTGAATAAAATTAATAAAGCTTATCATTTCAACTTATATATTTATGTGTTGGTCAAAATACAACAATAGAAAAGAAATAATTCTTTGGATTTTTTGGGTACATAAAAATCGACAAAAAGATTGCAAATATTAAAATTTAAATTTCAAATCTTATAAATAATTATATAAATTAATTGAGTTAAATTTTATATGTAAATTAAATCTTTAATTATATACTAGCAAAATGCATTTTCAACAATATGCAATATTTTCTCATAAGAATATATATTTTGTCAACAGAGATTTATAAGTTATAAAAATATATAATTTATCTAATAACTGATTCCATTTTTTATACTTTTAATTTATACGTTATTCTTTTTAACTTTATTCTATATATTTTAGTTTTATATCATTAAATAAGAGCCAATTTATAATAAACTGGTGCCACTTATTATTTTCAATTAACAAAACTCAAAATTAAAAAAAAATAGCATTAAAGTTTAACAAGGATGCAGAAGTCATTATATTTTGCTTTACCACTTTAGTATATAAAGAAAAAAATTTTGCTAATTAGTGTCTCTTTAAAAACTAAAGTTATTATATAAAGTAATATCCTCTGCCAAAAAAATATACAAAGAAATTCAGTGGTTGAATTGCTTCAATTTATGAGATGGTTTTGAACAAAAGGTGTCCATGGCTTGGACTGCGCCGGACTAGACTTGCCTTTCAAAATTTTTGTTTAAGGCCCGACCTGGTTCAAGAGTCAAACAGTCAAACTTTTTAAAAGATATTAAAATATTAATATTTTAAATACATTTTAAAATTAAAATCACATAATGACCCAGCTTGGGTAGGGCCTCAATTGGTACAAATTGGGCTAAATTGCTACCTAATTATGAGCCGAAATAATACCTAGTAAGAACCATAAAACCCAAATCTGAAGCATGGTGGGCTGAAATTAGGCTTTGAAAAGCCTAGCCGAACCTTGCAGCGTCCATCAACTTCCAATGGACCACCCCTCTTCCCCACCCCGATCGCCGACCGAATTTTTAATTTATGTTTACTGATCCAATGAACAAAAGTTAAATACTTGATAGTACTGTCGGCTGTCGTGTGATTTTGTGGTTCATTAAATTCCATGTGATATATGTGATCATATAACATTTCACAGACAATTTGGAAGAAACTAGCAATCAACTTGCGATTTTGTACTCATCCTGATCCAATAGTTAAAGAGTTAGGTAAACACAAAAAGTTAAACTTGTCCAACCACAAAGACAAAGTCGCACATAATCCATGCTGATCCTTGCACGATTTGTAATAGTGATTAGACAGTTTACTACCTTAGTCTGATTATATTAGCAATTTAGCATTTCTCAAGCATTTGACCCCTTTTTTAGTATCTCTTTAAATCTAAAATTTTTTCTTCAAATCCAACTCAAAATAACCTTAGCTGAACCGCTTTATGAGGATTATTTCAATTAAAATAATTTGTCAATTAAGATTTCATATTTGTGAAAAAAATTAATTACCCATTTTGTATTTAAATTTAATTAAATACTCAATTTAAGCTCTAATTAATTTTAAATTTAATTCAATTAAGAAAAAAATGTTTTGAATGTGCTCAAAGCATGATTTGTTCGTGGTGATAAAATACACGTGTCGTTAACTCTGTTAGCAGACCAACTGCCAATAAACATGTAACAGCTGAAAAACTAACTCTTTTAATTGGTCCAGCTGGCATTCGTATAAAAAATTTTTGATAGTGAAAAATAAAAGATTGTAAATGAAAATTTTATATTCTTTTTTTATTCAGCCAGTCTCTCTAACTTGTCCTCCCTCCGATTCTTCACATAAAACCACCTTGAAACCCAGAAATATCCTACAGCAAATCTAAGTCCTGACCCCTCTGCCAACCATAGATCCGAACAGCCAGCCCTCTAACCACAAAGATAACCGAGCCCACTTCCACCACCTAAGTCACCATTGTCGACACCATAAACCACCCCAAAAATCACCCCTAACAAATCCCAAGCATGTTTCCTCACCATCAAATGCCAAGCTATTATTATACCCAATAAAAGCCACCACCCAAATCACGAAACAAAAAAATAACAGCAGCCAGCAACCTCAAAAAGAACCACAATCCATGAAACACAATATAAAACTAAAAAACAAACAGCAAAAAAATTAAAAACAATAGAGGAGAGAATCTCGGCTTTGGGTTGTTTTAGGAGGTTTTAAGACTTGAACTTAACCAAAAAAAGAGGATAGGAAGAAAGGAAGGGTCATATATGGCAACGAACGACAGAACAGGCGATGGAAGTGAGTGAGGAAGAAAGGAAGGAATTTATACAGGCAAAATTTATCACTGCCACTCTTCGAAAAATGGGGTTTCAAGTTAGAGAGAAGAGAGACGTAGAAAATTTTTTAATGAGTAAATTGTTTTTATTGGTGTTTTTTACAAAGCTTCATTTATTTTTATGTTATAAAAAACAAATTTACCTTATTTTTTGGGGACAATTTGTTTCACGCTATTTTATTCTGCGTGTGGTACACTTCCAAGGCTTTTTTTAATTTGAATCAGATTAAAGATATTAAACTAAAATAATTATTTTTTTTAATTTAACCATTTTATTTAAATAAATTTATATACTTTTATTACATTTAAATAAATTCTTGATCTTTACTGTACTTTCAAATAAAATTTTAAACTTTAATTGTTTATATACTTTAATTTACACGTAAATAAACTTTAACATAAATTAATATTTTATTTGAAATAAAAACATATTTAGTTACGAATCAAATGAAAATTTATTTAGTTATAATAAAATGATAAAATTTAAAAAATATTTTAATATTTTTGCCAAAATGTTGTTTTTAATTGAAAAAATATAAAAATATTAAATCTTAAATTAAACATTTAACTTTGAATTTTATCTTGAATTATGATAAAATGTATAAGATGATATTTAAAAAAAAAATTGCAAATTGTAATCTCAACTTTCAAAACATATGCTATGTTAGTACAAACCTTAACACCATTAATTAAACCTACCACACCCAACACCTAACCAATAAAATATGCCACATGTGAAATAAAAAAATTAAATAATTTCTAAGATTTCCATGTTGATGCCAAATGTCAACCCATCATTGGTGGATATTTCCATGTGGCTTAGCATTATGAAATATACTCCAAAGCATGCTCTTTCGCTTTGACCGTGTCACAAAAGAAACAGGAAGTGGGAAAGAGCTTTCATGAAAGTAGCATCTGAGTGATTGAATTAGTAACACTATAATAAGCATCGAATGTTTAACAAAAGTAGACGACTTATTTTCACTAATTGACCCCACAACTTAAAGACGTGATCTAGCATCCAAGTTTCGGCTTCCAAATCATTAATTTCCATTCCAGAAAAAAAAAAAGGAAAACAGTATTAGTAAGATTTACTCTATGATTATGCTCAAGAGCACATAATAGAGAGCATTCAAAAGCATTAAGAGAAAACAAAAGACAAGAATTGCCTAAAATATGTGATAGAAGAAAAATCTTCTCCTATCAAAAACACATAGAAGGTAGAAGAAGTTTCATTTGATTTGAAACCCTAAATTGGCAAGTTATAATAGAAAGAAAGAGAGCACAGCAAAGCAGAATCTCACTACTGCTTTGGCTGTTGCTGTTGCTGGTCTTCCTCATGCTTCGGTGCTTCTTTAATCTCATCAGCTCCGTCATCCTAATTAATTAAAATTAGATAAACAGTTAAATGAGTATAAAATTTTTAGGGGGAGGAAAAAAGAAGGGATTTTATTTGAAAGGTGAAAATTTGTTTACCTGCATGTCGGAGGTCCAGAGAGTGAGATTGTCACGGAGGAGCTGCATGATGAGGGTGCTGTCTTTGTATGATTCCTCGCCTAGAGTATCCAACTCAGCTATTGCTTCATCAAATGCCTGTCCCAATAAAAAACGAACACGTCTGCGGCTCTAGATTTATGAACAAATTATTTTTATTAAAAAAAAGGAATTTGTAACCGACCTGTTTTGCGAGATTGCATGCGCGATCAGGAGAATTGAGAATCTCATAGTAGAAAACAGAGAAATTGAGTGCCAGCCCGAGTCGGATCGGGTGAGTTGGAGCCAACTCGGCGTTGGCAATGTCCTAAAAAAACAAAAAAAAAAAAGACGTTAGCACAAATACTTCAAGCAGATCTCTAAGAAAATGAGAGAAATTTTGAAGAACCTGAGCAGATTTGTAGGCAGTTAGAGTACTCTCAGCAGCTTCCTTGCGTTCGGCTCCAGTCTTGAACTCAGCCAAATACCTGTGATAATCGCCCTTCATCTTAAGATAAAAGACCTTGGAATCTCCAGCGGAAGCCGAAGGGATAAGCCTGGAGTCAAGGAGCTTCAAGATCCCGTCACAGATCGAGGAGAGCTCGGACTCGATCTTGGCCCGATAATCACGGATCATAGCAACATGATCCTCGTTACCACGGCTCTCCTCTTTCTGCTCAATGGAGGAAATGATGCGCCAGGAAGCACGGCGTGCGCCGATTACGTTTTTGTAAGCAACAGAAAGGAGGTTTCGTTCCTCGACGCTGAGTTCCTCGTTGTCAGCGGAAGCGGAGACTTTCTCCATGAACTCAACCATCTCCTCGTAGCGTTCGGCTTGCTCCGCGAGTTTTGCCATGTAGACATTTTCCTCACGGGGTGAAGGAGTCGTGGCCATTGTCGATTTTCGAATCAGTTCAGAGAGAAGTGAAAGGGGAAGAGAAGAAGGTAGATTTTGAAAATTTTAGATCTGAGCCTTGGGGGGGTTTCGAGAGGGTGGGAGAAGTGGGGGGCGATGATTGCGTTGAAGAAGGGAGGGGGAGAAAAATGCGTTGAGGAAGGGAGGGAGAGAAAAAAGTGGGGGATTAATTATGGACCGTTGGATTTAGGAGGCAAATGGAGAGGAGAGGGGATTAAAAACAGGCAAGCTGGCAAACACGGGCTTCTGAGTTTTTGGGCAAATCAAAAAGCTACTCCCACTCACCCCCCTTTTTTTGGGTGGTGGTGGTCGGTGGAGATGATTTTGAATTTTGAAAAAAAAAAAGGGGTGGGCTTTTGGGTATTTCACGGTTTGCTGGGCTAACACCTTTGGTCCTAAGTCCTTTATGCCGGATTAGTTAAATACAAAAAAAAGCCCACAAAGCTTTCCCAAATGCAATTAATTTTTTATAAAATTATAATATAAAAAAGTTACTATCATAATTAAATATCATATACATATATAAAAAATTATTGAATAATTAGTCAAAAAAATTAATTAACAAACTAAAATAAAATTGAATTAAATTTACACACAATAAGATTTAAATCTAAAGCCAAATTCACACATAAATAGGTTGATTTTAATAAGCATGGTTTCAACCTTAGTTTGTTCTGTCATTGCCAACATATTAATAATAATTCTTTTGCAAATATTCGTATGAGTTGTTGATAAAATATTAATTTTTTATTTTAGTAAATAAATTTTTGTCTAATATTAAGTATACTGACATTTACATCATATATTTTGGGAATATAGGAGAATTTGTTTTTTTTTTTTAATAATGAGAAAATTTTAGTATGCAAAAGAAGAAAAGAAAATTTGTTGAAGACATGTGAGTTGTGACCACAATAAAAAGTCTTGGAGCCAAGCAAAACAATATAGAGCCTAGCATTGCCAAGTGACAACATAGGAATTATTGAATACTTTTTTTCACTTATCGTAGTTTAACTACTATTATTAAAAAAAAAAAAAATCGTAGAGGTTAACTATTATAAAAAGGGGTAGATTCATCATTTAGATCCCTTCCCAAAAGAAAAAAAAAAAGTGAAACAGAAAATTTTTTAAATACAACGAAATGAACCCAACAAATATGCAGATGTCAGAGTTCAACTTGGCAAGTTGAATCACGATTTTCTTTTCTTGTGAAGTAAATTTTGTCCCAACATGTTCATATTCCACTTGGATATATATCAACCGGAAATGTTAAATCGTGTAGCGTTAAAATATAGCTGTTTCAGACCGAATATACAGCCTGGCCTGGCAACTTCAAGTGGTGGTTATCAATTTGTTAATTCCGTATTTCCAATTTTCAGAATATTTTTTACTCGAAGGTCACATCAAAATGTTGATATTAATTTTTAATATATAAATAAATATTAAAATTTTAATTTCAATTATATGATTAAATTCTGGCAAGCTAGGATTGAAAAAAAAAGAACGAAACAAAATACTTGGTGTAAAATAGTAGCAGTTCTTTCACATTATTCTCATTGTGCAATTGGACTTGTTCTACCCAAATATTTTGGCCTGAATTTGTGCCGATAATTAGCTTATTCACCCGAAATTAACCGCCCAAAGTTTTCCAGTATTTATGCTTAATAACCTGACCTTTTAACTTTATACTGAAATTTTAATGATCGTTTTTCAGCCATTGAGTGGAGTGGTGGAACAAATTAACTGCGCATATATCTTTTATGGTCTGCAGTTTTGGGCACAGGGGCTGGTGTAGCCATCTAAAAGCGTGCATGCAGGACTTAAAAAATATGGCCCAAAACTCCTTTTTGAAGGTTTGTCCAAAAACTAGGGTGTTGTTTTTTACTTTCAAGCACTTACTAATCAGCTAGCGGGGATTGTGGAACGGGATAGAAAAGACTAGTAGTAATCAGGAAATAAAGGTTATGGTTTCAAAACGAAACCCGTGGTATATGTAACAGTTGAGCTATCTCTTAGATCAGAATCTGTTTTGAGTATGTACAAAACCACTGGTGTAACATCTTGGAATAGGTCTACAACCCAACCCAAATCCTCCAACCCCTAGCAATTTTAAGTTCTTGGGTTTGGACTGGAAGATGGTTTGACTAATACCAGCCAGCCAATCATGATCTTGCCATGCAAAAGCAGCTGAAAATGGAATCTTATGGGGGCCAAATGTCATGGCTTTACTTTCTTTTTTTTCTCCATTCTAGAATTTTTTGTAATGATTTTGCTTATGCCACAAAGTAATGACTTTATACCAATGGTCAAATCTTTAATTTCGTTTAAAGTGGGGAAGTGATGTTAGTATCCCACCTTTCATTTCTCCATGTTAATCCCCAGCACCTTTTTTTATTATTATTATTTTATAACCATAGGGCAAAATGTCGTGTGTACAACCTGTTTGCTTCTTGAAAAGTTCCAACGAGAATAAAGGAGAGCCCATTGTATAGTTTAAAAGGTCAAAACAAGCCCCCAGGTTTAGCTAACCTTATTAATTTGTCTAGTATCGTCTCTTAATTTATAGTCATGATAACTATGAAGGGTGACAAATTTCGTCATGGATTGCAAATTGGAGAAAAGCAAAATACAAATGCTATATGATGCCTGTAATTATGTATTTTCGCAAAAGGGGCTTCCAACTTTCCAACAAATTCAATGGCTGAAAAACATCTTAAGTACTGGACTTTCTTGATTTGTCAGATCTTATGTTCTTTTATTATTTGTAGAGTTATTGTCTTTACCTTCCTTGTTTACTTTGGTAGAGGACTCAAGGGTACATTCCTGAAATGCAGATATATTTGAAGCTGTTGATGTTGGTATAGATGAATTTAGCTTGGATGGATCTCCAAGTTCAAGCTCGAAGATCACCAATGGATTGATTCCTGGGCAAGGAGTTTCTGAAATAACTTACATTCACGTTTATGAGTGTGACAATTTCTCGGTGAGTACAAGTCATTAACTTACTTATTCATGCATATATTTATGCAATTATAGATTGATATCTGCCATGATTTGTTATCATCATATGAAATTGTGAGTCATGACTATATGATCAGTTAGTCTGTTAATTGTGCAGATAGGAATTTTTTGCTTCCCGGCAGGCAGGACATTTCCTCTTCATGATCACCCTGGGATGACGGTTCTAAGCAAACTTCTTTATGGTTCAGTTTACATCAAAGCCTACGATTGGGTGCGGGAGGAGAACTCTAGCCACAGAACAAGTACGGATTTTAGGTTATAATTATGAAGAAGTATTAACATTGTTCATGTTCGGGTTGAAGTTAAATGTCTCATAGGTCATATCTCATAATACTATGAAGAATGTTGACAAAGAAAAACGATATCAAAACTATATATATCAGTATATTTCATAAACTGTTTATAACATGTCTATACCTGAATCTCTCTGGATCATATTCTCATCCTATTTGTATAATTTATTTCCTTTTAACTGAGAAATTAATTGATTGAAATCAGTTTAAAAGATATATTGATCTTATATTATAGATCACTAAACAGTCTATTACTGGTGAGAGGTGCAGATGGAGTAGCAGGCACTGTGATAGATGGCATCTTCAATGCACCTTGTGAACCATCCGTCTTGTTCCCAAGGAGCGGTGGAAACATCCACTCCTTCACTGCCTTGACACCTTGTGCTATCTTGGATGTGTTATCTCCGCCATACTCGGATGACTTTGGCAGGCCTTCCACTTACTTCTTAGATTTCCCCATCCCTTCTCTTCCTGGTAATCATCAATTCAATTACAACATTTCTCTTTTGGATTAAAATTTTCCATTATTTCTTCCTGTATTTATTATTTTCTTGACCCAGGTTATGTTCTGCTTGAGGAAAGAGAACTAAAACAACCATATGACTTAGTTGTTAAAGGGGCACCCTACCTTGGTCCTCCGATTGATGTTGCAGAAGATCTTTGCTAACTGGAGCTATAAGAATTCCCTACGAAAATGAATGAAGGCTTTTTTGAGCTATAAGAATTCCCTACGAAAATGAATGAAGGCTTTTTTTTTTCTTTCCTATCCTGCGTTGTTATTTAGTATTGTAACGAAGTTAGGGACTTGGCGGTTGGTACTACCTATGGTTAGAAAATGTACATGAAAGTGAATGTAGTTACCTTCTTTTCCAAGTGTCCAAGTGCCAATGAAATCCTCAGTGCATCAAAAGGAAAGGAAAAGTAGAATGATTATGAAATAAAACTCTTGGGAAACATGTAGAACGGTGCAAGCATTCAAGCAAGCATGCATGGTTTTTAATCCCTCGAATTTGAATGGGATTTGGACGCGCCGGTAAATGGTAATTTTAGCTTCATTGGCTGGACTTTGCGGATTCCAATTGCATATTCCAAATTTCCAAGTCTTTGGTCGTGACTCGTGATTGATCTCATATTGACAGTCGTTTAACTCCATCCCACGTACAACCATATATGAAATGGAAAAAAAAAAAAAAAAGAAACCCTTGCATAAATACAGATTGTATTTGTGATACTGAAGATATATATACTTTGTATTGGATTTCCTTCTCTCCTTTCATATCAGAAAGCCATTTAAAATCATACTAGAACTCACTTCATTAACATTTTCAAAAATACCTAATAAGATTAACCTAAAAATATATAACTTGGCTGATTATGGATCCATTAAAGCTGACCGCCATGATTTGTTGGGCACATAGCAATCCCTTGAATGAATTAAAAAGCAAAAGACGCTAATATATCATCCATGTGCTGGTCTCCCTCTTTGAATTTGACTTGCCTCCTAAAATTTGGTGCTGAAAACCACTGCATTACCTTGCACGTCACTATTACTTGGCACAAAATCTGCAAGCAAACTTTCAGTCCACAGCACACCAGCTTCCTAGGGTTTTACCGTAACTATCATGAAGTTATCAGACTGTAAACTCGTCTTAGTTGCCTAGAGGTTTACACTGTCCGGAGCAGCAAAATGATTGAACTCTTGGTCAATGTGTTCAGTTATTGTGGCCTAAAATATATCAGTGCATATACCATTTTTTACGTTTCGCGAATCTTATCACCTAACATTTGGCGTGTAGCCCTCGTGATCAGATGGTCTTTTTTCTTTCTTGGGAGAAGAATTTTTGTACCTTCCACACCGCCAGACGGCAGGGGAAATTCACTTTAATTTTTCCGTTCCAATTAAATCGAATCTCCACCATTCCTTACACATTTACCCTCTGTCTGTCTATCTATCTATCTGTTACTATAACTGCAGTCAAACACAGTAGGGTTCCAGGCTTTAACATTTTACGACTTTTTATGGTGATGATGACGATGATGGTTATCACTTTTAAGCCACAACTAACTTTGGCCTGATATACCTCACGAAACAAAGCTTCAAGTTTTGGACTTTTTATGTTTTATACTGTTGTTTTCAGAGACACAGAAAGAGAGAGGAGATAAAGGATTGAAGTGGGATACTTTTTCCTTGTCATAGATTTTGAATCTATGGAACGTTATGAGATTGTGAAAGATATCGGGTCTGGGATTTTGGAGTGGCCAAGCTGGTCAGAGATAAATGGACAAAGAGCTCTTTGCTGTTAAGTTCATTGAGAGAGGGCAGAAGGTCATCTTCATAGTTCATACCCTTTTACCTCTTGAATCTTTCTAACTTCTTTTCTTTTTCCTGTTTATAATTGGATTCTCTGTGGTGTCTCTGTTATCATTTTAGCACATGGGTATTGATTAAAATTGATTAAAGGCGTTTTCCTTTTGTTTTTTGTTTTTGTTGCAGATTGATGAACATGTGCAAAGGGAAATCACGAATCATAGATCATTGAAGCATCCCAATATTGTTAGATTCAAAGAGGTGGGTACTCCCTATATTCCATGTTTCTTTTTTTGTCTTGTGCTGCGTCTTGCTTCTGTCTAGCTGAATATGGTCAATAATAAATGTTCCATTATGATAGATAAAGATGGGCATGGGCTCTGGTGTTTTACCTGCCTCCTTTTCCCTTTTATGAAGAACCAATGAAAAAAAAATGTCAAGAGACAATAATATCTATGGAATTTCGTTTAATCATTTTTCTTTTCTTCATTTTCTTGATAACCAGGTGTAGAGTTTAGAATTATGTCATTGATTGTTTAATTCAAGTGCCAAAAAGATAATCAAATTTCATTTTGAGTGTTAGTAAAGCAAATTATTGTCCCTTGAACCAGTACACTAAGAGGATGGATATGGAATTGATTTGATCGTCATGTTCCTTTTTAACGAACAACTTTTGCAAATTGTAGTCTTTTGTGCTTAACTTTCCATAATGTAAAATAAGAAGAAGGGCAAATCGTTCACATTGTGGAATGGCCCTTGCAGGTTCTTCTTACACCTACTCATCTAGCCATAGTCATGGAGTATGCTGCAGGCGGAGAACTCTTTGAGCGCATATGCAATGCTGGTAGATTTAGTGAGGATGAGGTAAACAGGAGAAAATTTTGATGTGAAATAGTGTGCTTTATTCTATTCTATTGAATACGCAGTTTCTCATCTCCAAATCATCCATTGGAAATTTGGAATAATAACATCCATTTTGCATTTTGATTTACAACAGGCTAGGTTTTTCTTTCAGCAATTGATAGCAGGAGTCAGTTACTGTCACTCCATGGTATGAAACTTTGGCTTCTAGAGTCTTGGTTCTAAACTTCTCTAAGAAATATTGTTTCTTTCTCAAATAACCTTGTACCGCTATTAAATTGAAAATTCTGTTTTGTAGCAAATATGTCACAGAGATCTTAAGCTTGAAAATACTCTCCTGGATGGCAGCACAGCACCGCGCGTTAAAATATGCGATTTTGGATACTCAAAGGTAATAATATTAACTAATCCACAAGTTTGCAAAAACAATGAATTTACTGCAATTTTTTTACTAACTATTTTCCCCCTAATTTTTGTAGTCATCTGTGTTTCATTCTCAACCAAAATCTACTGTAGGAACACCAGCTTACATTGCCCCTGAGGTTCTATCCAAGAAAGAATATGATGGAAAGGTAAATCCCACAGTTATGCTTCTCCAACTTAAATCTCACATTATCTATTATTAATCCTCCATAACTACAGATTGCAGATGTTTGGTCATGTGGGGTAACCTTATATGTCATGCTAGTTGGGGCATATCCCTTTGAAGATCCTGATGATCCGAAAAACTTTAGAAAGACAATTGGGGTGAGTGCTTATATAAACTATCAGCTCCACTTTCTGTACAAAAGTATACATGATTTGAAATTAGTGCAATTATTTGAGGTTTCCCTTACTGTGGAGTTTCTATTAAGTTGTTATTGGTCATAGCAGAGAATACTCAGCGTCCACTACTCAATTCCTGATTATGTTCGAGTTTCCATGGAGTGCAAACATCTTTTATCTCGATATTTGTGGCAAATCCTGAAAAGGTATAATTTGCTTCTTTGCTTGATCTGATGCACAGAAAGCTAATTGCTGGCAATCATCTATCTTTGTTCGAATTGTTTGTATGGCGTTTTATTCATCTTGATCTCTTGTTGGTGCAGAGAATAACTATACCAGAAATTAAAAGTGACCCTTGGTTCTTAAACAACTTGCCTATAGAACTGATGGAAGGAGGAAGCTGGCAGAGCCATGATGTAAACAACCCTTCCCAAACCTTGGAAGAAGTACAGTTTATAATACAAGAGGCCATGAAAACTCCTGAGGTCCCCAAGGTTGGGGGACTTTTCATGGGAGGAAGCATGGATCTTGATGATTTAGATTCAGATGCAGATCCTGAAAATGTAGAGACAAGTGGTGATTTCGTGTGCCCAGTGTGAACAAAAGTATAGAAATACACCTCACTGTCGTGAACTATTGTTTATACAATCATCAACCTCAGATTTTTATTATGATTGAAGAATTTTCTGTTCAATCCTTGTCATGCACTTGGCTCATGAAAACCCATTTCGATTTCTTTATTTGTCAACTTATTACAATTATTTTCTGTAGTTGTGGAGGTTGAAATCAGCACAATAATAATTGCGTAAACCTTCTCATAATTGTTGACACGTATAGCATGATTTAGTCAGCCTATATACTTCTAGAAACAGATATGGTTTTTTCTGTTAATAAGGTGTCTTCTTTAAGTGCCCCACCATGATTGATCTTTCTCTTTCGTTGCTTCCCTCGTCCTTTTTCACATTGATTGTTGTGTAATTGATGGAAACATAATTATTTAAAGTTCTTTTTTTTTTGGCCACAACTCATTCGAAGTTCAGGCTAATTGATTTCTTGCCGTCCTTTAAATTGAAAAATGTCTGTTAATTGGCATCCGCTTTGACTGATCATTAAAAAAAAAAAAAAAAAACAACATAATCACTATTTTTCACTGTGCAGCTTTTGGCTGGGACCTTTTGCGGCGCTTATCCCTTTTGCTGAGAAGCTTTTATAATTGAGCAATTTATGGATTTGGTTTCTTTTTTGGCATCATACCAAAATTTTTGTTATATTTGCATTCATACCTTAAATACATTTTTTTTTATTTTTTGTTAAATTTATTTATTATTTTTATTAAAATTTTAAATTATGTCACTTTCATATAAATTTTTTTATTATATTAAAAGTTATCATATTTAAAATTATCAAATTCACTTCATTAGATATTTTTTGTCGATTTATTTTGTTATGGAATAAGTTTTAAATTTGATTGAGTATTTTAATGAATATATGCATTTTTGCGAACATTTGATTGAACGATAAACATATATGTTTTTTTAACTAAATTTGATGATTGAACGAAAAATTAGGTTCCATATGTCAACAGAAAGCATGCAAGGTGGAGCTAATAGTTATAACTCATAAATGAATTCTACAACCTGAAAATTAGGGATGCATTTAGGCTCTATATTTTAACACTTTTCGTAAGCTTTTCAAACTTTCTTATTATCAACTCCAAAAATGTGAAAAATTAGGCTCTATATTTCGACAGAAAGCATGCCACGTGTAGCTAATAGTTATAACTCATACATGATTTCTACAACGTTTGACTCGGACAATCGCATTTTGAATAGAATTTTGCGAACACAAATTTCCATTTGATGTGGTATATTGGTTGAGGAGATGGTGAAACAAGGAGCATTGCAAGTTACGCGGGGAGCAGACGGTCTTGTTTGAAGGACTTAATGTTTTTATTTTGTAATGTAAATGTAAATGTAAATGTAAATGTTTCTCATTGTTGATTTCTTGTTTTTATACTGTATAGGCGAGCATTTTTTGACAAGGAGGATCTCACAGGAGGTCAGTGGAGATGCTCTTGGAGAGGTATGCCTATGTTCAAGAATTGGATTCAATGGAGTCTTAGATGCTCTTGGAGAGGTATGCCTATGTTCAAGAATTGGATTCAATGGAGTCTTATTTAGAGTTCCTAGTTTAATAAAAGACTTCATTCTTTTGGCAGGAATTCAAGGGCTATGTTTTCAAAATCAAGAGGAGGATGTGACAATCAGGAATTCGCAATGAAACAGGGTCCATCTATTGCTTCACAGAGGTTGGTCCTTACTGTTTAATCATTAATGCCATCCAGACGCATGTGATGATAGCAACTTTACTGGCATTTTTGGTATGAAATGACTGTCATATTTTCCTCTCCAGGGACACCTTGCTTCCAAGAATATGGTAGGTGCAACGGAGACCGAAGGAGGAAGTCTGTTCGAGGATGCATTGTGAGCCCTGATCTCTATGTTCTCAACTAGGTAATTGTGAACGAGGGTGAGAATAATCTTCCTTACTGATTGATACCAGAGAAACCAAGAATGGGAAGACCCAAAAGAGTATCAAAGATTCATAAAATCTTCAATCTCTCAAAGGAGGATGATGTCTGAAAGTATGTCAACACTTACCGTCGATCATTCACAACAAATCTGATAGGTTTTCTGGTATATTTTCTTTTGACGGTAAGAGTTTTAGTGTCATAATGAATATAGTATTTGTTTTTAATTTGGTTATCAAATGTATGTGTGTAATGTTTGTCCAAAAGGAACCTTGACTTTTTCTTCATTTTAAGAAAATTTGTCCAGATTCTACCTTTTTTTTTATTTGAAGCACCTAAATTGTAATTTTTTAAAAAAAAATTGAAGCATTCTCATTATTTATGCATATAATATACTTTTATCATACTCGTTTTTCTGTAATGCAGGAAAGAAAGCCAGCAAAGCTCCCGAGATTTAGAAATTGGTCACTCCATAAATTTTGCAGAGGAAGAGAGCAAGAATTGCTGAGAAAAAGAAAAGAATTTCAAAGGCAAAGGTAGATGCTGCTGAGTATCAGAAGCTCCTTGCACAGAGATTGAAGGAACAAAGAGAACGTCATAGTGAAAGTTTAGCCAAGAAAAGATCCAGGCCTTCCGTTGCTTCTAAGCCTTCTATTGCAGCTTAAAACCAGTCAAATAGTGATAGCAAGTTAAAAAAATTAATGGAATTTGTTTGATTTAGATTTTTCATGTTTGAAAGGTTTTACAACTGCTTTTAAAAGAGCTTAAGTCATGCATTTTGATACAGAAATATAGATAGCAACCAACTTACCGATAGGCAAAACTTTCCCGACCTGGTCTATAATGAAACAAGAAAGTGAAAAGAAAAGAAAACATAGTCAAATGAATGACAATCACCTCTTTAAGAAAACCAAAGACAACCAAATAATTTGAATAATAAATGAATCAAATGTCCTGTTCGGATGTCTTATGGCCAGGTGAGAACTGAATTAATGCTACAAAGACTGAAATAAATTGGTTCATATGCCAAAAAATAGTTCAGGCAATGCCTTCATAGTTATTTAATTCTCCCCATACTGTCTGCTCAACTTCTTCCCATGACTCTGCTGTTCTAAGTTCTGTCCATATACTAAATATAGCACCCAATACATTCTCATCATGCAAAATACAGTAGCACCTGCAGATACAAAATATCCAGATAAATTTTGCAGACCTTAATGCCATATGTTGCAGTTGAACCAAAAACTAACAAGCTTGACAAAATTAATATCAAGGAAAGAAAGAAACTCATTATTACTTACATGGCATGGTACGAAAGTCGTCCAAACTTATCACAAGAAGTCATTGATCCATGTTCTGGTGTTTTTTTCATCAAAGGAAGTTTATAACTTTGTAGAAACTGCTTAAGGAGACGGGAATCACCTCTAAAGACATCTAAATGTATGGGTATCACGTCATAAATGGGATCACCTGAAAAATAAAATCGAACTCAAGTTGATGGATGACATCAAGTTGCTCTACTGTTAAAGGTAAAAAACCGATTACTTATTGTTTCACTCTTTCTACAGTTTATTCCCTTTAACATGAGAAATAACAAAGCAAATCATGAGAACCGTGTCCTTTAGATAAAGAATAACTTCGGTTTGTTTTAAATGCAGGAAAAGTTGCTTAAGATTAAACCAGAATATTCAAATGAGAAATTATAGGTATAAGCAACATCAGATGATCTTGAAGATTTCATTTGTATCACACTACATGTCCATTATGTTTCCACAATTCAATTTTTCATAAGGTACAATTTAGTTTCCATTGGCATAAACAAATTCACATCTCTAAAACAAAATAGGAAGGAGAGGATAGGAAGGAGAGAATGATTTATAAACTAAAATACTCATAGCAACATGGAATGAAGTCAGATTAAGAAAGTGCCCTGACCTATAGAAAGATCGCTGAATCAAGGATGTAATATAGGGCGCCAAGATTTTTCTTCTAATCATTATTATGCCCATTCACTGAACCATTATTTATCAGGGCAGTAACTCCATTTGAGCCAAATATACAGCATGGTTCCATGTAAATATTGTCATCCATAATATCTGAATGTATCCAGGACCAAGGCTTACGAATTCTTTTCATGCCATTTTCCTATCAATAATGAATAGCATTAGGTACAATTGTGCAACAGGTTCCACCCATAAGATTAAGAGAAAATAAAGGAAATAAGAAAAAGATAGTGGGACATAAAAAAAAAACCTCGTATGCAGAAAGCAGCTTCAGAAAATCATCTGGGAGGTATCCATCAACTTTCTCCATCAGCTTTTTAGGAATTGGATCCCCCCTACATATTGGCAGTGTCAAATTTCAGAGGCATCTAAAATTGAAGGCTATGATAAAGTAAATAAACAAAGCTAAAAACAAATAGAAAAAGAAATCTTTATCTTTGTAAGTGTTATACCCATTAAGTACTACGCTAACACTCTCACAGAATGATGACATAGCACAACAGGATAACAAACTTGCAGTTTTAAGAGAACTGATCTTGAAGTATGGATACAAGCACAAGATTAGCTCTGAACCATTCCCACAAATAAAATAAGGACCACAGGCAAATTTCTAGAAGGTGTTGGCTTTAATTATTTTTTTTTTCCATTATATAGGAGAGGCAGCAATGAGTTCCTTTGAATAGTGAAGATTTAACCATGGAGAAAACAATTGTTTGGCTGCATAGCAGTGTAAAGAAACAGGTCAATGTTGGCATGGCTGGTATCACTCTCAATAAGCCTGAAGCATACAATGTTTTCAAAATGACGCAAAACAGATATGGAGTATGGACACAATGAAACAAACACAAGATTATCGGTTGCAAAACTAGGAGGTTAAAATAAGGAAAATCTCTTTCAAACATATTTTCAGTAGAATCACAATTGGTTGTAAAAGTTGATCAACAAACTTCATTCACAAATTAGATAGTATACCATTTATTCAAGCGGCTAGAAATATCCTTCTTCTTCTGACTTAGAGTTCTCGCAAAGATTTCCCATTCAGCTGGAACCTCTGATTCGTTGGAGACAAAATCAATGTCCATGCCATTGGCAAAGGAAAACCCCCTTTTCTGTTCACCTGAAACGGTTGAATTACTGAAGGAAGGATAGGGCAAACTATGAAGGTTTCGAAGCTGCTCTCCTAAAAAGGAAGCTAAGTTAAGCACATCTTCCGATGACAGTACATCTCTTCTGCAATAGAAATTAAATGGAAGATTAATAATTACACCAATCTACTTTTGACATCTCCAGTTCTAGAAGTTTATGATCCATTCAAAATAAGAAACTGTAAAATTAAGAATACTTACAATTGAGCAAATATCTTTCCATTGCAACGCTTCGTTATAAGGTAAGGCCAGATACTAGCGGATCCAGCTGAACTGTTTGGTCCATATTCTGGTGACCCAGCTTTTCTATATTCAAAAAGTTTCTTGCTCCATACACCGAAAGGGAAAACATCACTTGTGCCCTTCTCTGGAATCAAATTGCACTTTGCAAGCACATCAGGCACTTCTTTACCATCCCAAGAATCAATTTTGCAAGATCCATTTTCCAAGTGCAGAATCCCACTAGCCAATACATTAGGAATGTGGCTTTTCATAGGGGAATTAACTTCACAAAGCGTGCTGTAGAATTCAAGCTGTACAGAAGGAAACGCAAAACTTACAGTATGTAAAAAATTTATGGACATGATGAGTATAAATACACATACACCTACCTCAGTGCCTAAGCCATGTATTGAAGATTCCAGCCCTCCTTCAACAAAGATTTTAACCACATATTCATCCATGACATACACCTGTTGCATAAGAATTAGAACAATCAATTGAAACCACAAAAGTTCTCTGTTGATAATATGATTGGATTGATTCTACAAGGTAATGGCAAATTCTGGAGTATCCGCTCATTGATTTCTCACAATCAATTCCCCTTACTTTCCATATGTAAAAGAAAACAGCAATTAAGAGATTAATGAAAATGACAATCAACTCACGGGATTGCTGCCTGTTCCAACAGGAAGCTTCGCATCATCATTTGGAAAAGGCAAATTGTGAAAGAAGCAGATTTTCCCCAAGCACTCCAACCATTTGTCAGCATTTAGTGCAATACAGGCTCCCTAATACAATTAGAGAAAAAATAAAAAAATTAAGTTAGCAACAAGATAAAAGATATTGTTTAGCGAACACCATATGTCTCCTATGCCAAAGTTTTTGACAAAGCAATAACAATAGAAAAAATCTCTAGTAAACACCATATAGAGCATTTACCAGAGAAGAAAACCAGCCAGACGTAATCATCGGAATATGTGAGCAGAGGAGTCCATTATCAAGCAAATCTTCTAAACAATCTATAAGGGCTTCTATTTGTCTTTTTCAACAATTTGTGATTTATTTTTGAGAATATCTTCTTCGGAATGGGCATAGTTTATCTCCTTAAAACATATGGTTGCCTATTGTCCTTTTCTTAGTCAACTCATCCATAGAAAGGGAAAAAGAAGAAAAAAAGGACAGGCTTGGTGGGATGAAGGCACTTCTGTTAAAAATGTAACATACCTTCCAAATCAGCTCTCTCATTCCTGGTTTTCCAACCCAAAGCTTGGAAAGCCATTCCCTCATTTCTCGTGGCCCTATGCAATTGCCTGAGCTCCATGGAGAAGTATAGTGGTCCCTCTCTCTATCCAGAAACATGGCCAAGAAATTTATATCATAAGAAAAATTGCATTTCCATAGATTATAGCTTGTAGATGCACCATTAGCAGTTCCTTCATGATTTTCACTCTCTTGAGATGTTAGAACTCTGACCCGCTTCTCTTTCCTTGTCAGGTTGGAGTAACTAAAATTGTCTTTGTCACATGACATGTTCTTCTCGATGTTCTCTAAACTGCCTTCATCAAGAGCAAGCATTCCAGCACGGCAAACTCCTTTATGACGGTAACCTGGAGCCATATCTAGACATACAAATTCAAAGTTTCTGGAATTTACAAAATTTTGTGTCACTGCAACAGTTGTTTCCAGATTCAGGACACAGTGCCACCATCCGCTCGGAACAAAAATTGTCTCCCCAGGTAGTTGAGTGCACTCAATTGGCTTGTCTTCATCAGCAAGAAGTGGATAAAAATCAAGCCACCACTGTACACAAAAAGAAGAATGATTCAACAAAGGCAACCCCAAAAAATGTGACAACAACTAGGAGATCAAACACAGGACCATGGAATTGATACCTGCAGTGATGATGGAGTATCAATGTTTACATCACCATCTTGGTCATTTACATGCACTGTAACACCCAAAGGTACTCGTCCAGGAGGATACAATGCCCATCTGCGCAAACAATTGAGATCCGACATCCTGGATATCAGCTTTTCAACTATAGTGAAGCAACAAAAAGGACAACCTCATGCAGCCAAAAATAAATTACCAAGCAGTTTATGATACATCAATAACCAGGGCACCGGTATAAGGTCAAATGAAACAGATAAAAGAAAACATTTAATAAAGTTGCTGAAGGATATTCCTAAATGAGCTCCATAAACAGTCTTGTACTATTATTAAGCTTGTGGCACAATATGTCAAATCCAAAAGCACCACATGGAAGCATTTTATCAATACAGAGTTAACATCTCAAAAATACCTTTTACGACCACATAGAAGAGTATTCCAGGCACTGGTAAGTGCTGGATCAACATGCCAAGAGGCACCAGACCTCTCTGGCCCAATGATAAGCCATCTGAATGGTGGCCGACTGTCTCCATCTAAAATATCAAAAAAGTCTTCTTGAAATATTTGGGGCACATTGTAATCTTTCAACAAGCCAGGTGCAGATTCTCCAAACTGCATGACAAACAATCAAAGTACTTTCAAAGTTTTCTAAAAAGGCCATTATTCGATTATAATCCTGCACAAAATAGACACACACACACAAAAATGTATAAATGTTATAACTACCCTAGGCTCACCTTGTCATCAAAAATATAAAGAGGATCCTCATCATGCTGTTCTTTCATGTAGGATACATAATCCTTGAATTTCATTGAAACTTTTCCAGGGCTTCTTTGAGAAATCCTGAATGCTGTATCTCCATATTTGTCCAGAAGCTTGTCAATTGTCCAAGTATTCCTTGCAGGCCAAGTATCGGCCAATCCAGTGAGCAAAACCTGGAATGTGAATCAGCAAGAACCCCATCCAAAAAGCACAAGTAGTTATGTACAGTTGCTCAACTCATAATATCCGACTAATGAAGAGGGTAACATTTACGAATAAAATCAACTGATTTCTTCAAATACTCGATAAAAGTCCAAAAGGACTAATATCTAGTGGATAACATAATAATAATTTGAAGTAGTGAATTGAACAAAATTTACTGAAAACAAACATAACATATATATAGCATACCGGTTTATCCCCGTCATATTCACGATGAAACTGTTCCACCGATAGATCACTTTGTCTTTCCCACTTTCCATCGATCGAAAGAAAAACCCATCTAATGTAAGTAATGGCACCTATATAAATCTTCTGTATAAGAATAAAAGAGCTCAATCCTACACCAAAAGATTAGGCCACAATTACTCAAATCAAATACTATCATTAAAAAAAAAGTTTTATTTCCACTAAAAACTAAAAGCCACGAGTTTATTTATCCAATCAAACTGCAATGGGTTTTCCTGCTTATATTATCCAATATATTCATTCGGCAAATTCTCTCTGCATTTAAAAAAAAAAAATACCCGCAACATTAAGAGACTAAAAATGATATAAGTTAAAACAAAAAGAATAAATTTAATTTTCAGTTGCGAAGGGCGAAATACAAATGCAATGTTGACTTCCTCCAGGAGCCTTTGTATTGAAGTGGACCGTTGACTTTCTTGAGGCAAAGACTCATCCAAAGTGGCTCTTCATTGCAGAATATATACATAACACTAACAAATTCAAACCCCAAAAATAAAATTAAACAAAAGAAAATGATATTTAAAAGTGAGAATATAGGAATTGGAAAAATAAAGAATAAAAAGAGTGCAAAAAAAAAAACCTGCTGACACTAGCGAGACGAGCGATGTCTGGAGGAGTGAGGTAACCTAAGATGGTGCAGATGAGTTCATCGGGGAGGGAGCTGAGGTTGCCGAGGGCATCGACTCGGCGATCTTTGGGCAGGAAAGTGTGGGATTCATGAGAAATTTCCATTAATTGAATTTTTTTTTTTGGGTTTTTTTAAGGGCAGAGGGAATAGTTGGGATTGATCCGAGCAAACGGAAAAGTAGAAAGAAAGACGGGTTGAGGAAGAAATGGTTTCGTCTTTTAAACATATTGGCTTGGCTATAACGCAGAGCGATGTTGCCACGTGGCAACCGTGTTTCCTGCGCGCGGTTTTCCCCGTGTGCCGATCGCAGGATTTCTTAACGTGCCCTATTCTTTACTTAATTTCTTTCCTCTTCTTGTCTGTTTTTTTTTTTTGGCCTTGTTTAATATTTCCTCTTTTTCTTTTTTCAATATTTTTACCGTTTGGCCAAAAAATATATATTTTTATTTACTTTTTTTATTTTAACAAAGGAGAAATAAAAGTTTCTCTTTTATATTAAAGACTTATTCCACGGGCCCAATGAGCTTAGACTCATCTTGATGCTAAGCCAGGCCCAAAATTTGGCCGTCATTCTATTTGTAGACGAGGGTGGAGCAAAAGCCTTGCCCAATTCTGTCCACTAAACACAATATTAATTTAAAAAATTTTTGAAAATATATTAATAAAAAATTATTCAATAAGCCATTTATGGAATTTAAAAAATTCTATTTTCGGGTTAAAAATTTTATACTTACATTTTAAAAATTTCACTGCTGGTGTATATAATAATAATCCTGTTAATAATGCTTAAGACACGCTCTAGGAAGATATAAAATGCACTATTTATATGTCCAAACCCACAAATTGCATGTTTTCTCTAGAAAGTTAGTGTGTTGCTAAGTTGGTATTTTGGGTTTTCCTCACCGACCAAAGAAAAAAAGAGACGGTGCTTGGCTGGGCAGTGGGCATGTTAAAGATTAGCCCAAGTTTTATTTGCCAATTTAACTACTTTCTCATTGAGGTTTGTCAACCCTTGTAGGCCTTTGAGCAAAGATCAAGTAATTTAGCCTTACGGTTATGGCCTATGGGCTTTAGCCAAATTTGAGTCAGCGCTTTACCACTTCTTTCATTCATATATATATATATACCACTTCTTTCATTCATACATACATACATACATACATACATATATATATATATATATATATGTAAATGTATATGAAAACTAAAAAATTCTTGTCTACTGTCTGTCTGCAAGACCACAACAAGCTTGGAATGTAATCTTCTTCAGAGCAATTTTAGAATTCATTCATAGCTTAATTTTTTTTTTATTCCTCTCAAAGCCCTCTCTTGTCTCCCAGTATGCACAACATAAAAAACAGGACATAACTTAAGAATCCCAAAAGTAAAAAAAAATATTAATAAGGTGCCAGCAGTATCAACTAAAGACAAAAAAAAGAACAAACATATTGGTAGGCTGGTGGCTGGATTCTTTGTGAGCCACTCTACGGCCCTGTGACCAGAGGTTGCTGTGAGCTGATCCTCCTCTTTCTAAGGCGCTCTGCAATGATGAAGGAAAGCTCAAGAGATTGCGAGGCATTGAGCCGAGGGTCACAGTGGGTATGGTAGCGTGAACTCAAGTCATCAAATGTAACAGTCTGGGATCCACCAATGCATTCTGTCACATTCTGCCCAGTCATCTCTAGATGAACTCCTCCAGGATGACTTCCCTCTTGCTCGTGCACATCAAAGAAAGCTCTCACTTCAGCCTGCCAAAAATAAACAAATAGATATTGTTATACAATGAACTTAACACATAAGCAAGACGCATTCACATTGTGTTTGACAGTACTAAATTTCCACCTAAATATTTGGTAGACATATAAAAGAAAGAACAAAACAACAGAATCTTCCCAACTGCTATCCAAAGTCAATTGAGGTTCATCAAGAGTAGGCTTAAGCAATCTTCAAAGAGATTTTAAACCACAACATGTGTTTGAATCAACCATAGGATAGGGAAATATGACACCTACCTACTGATGACAAATTCTTACCTAAATTACTATGATCATGCTTAAGTAATCTCATTTGACAGTTTGGTCCAAACAACTTTAAGAGATAGTCCCTTTCCCACCTACCCCACCATAATATATTTGACTTCAAAACTCTCTTGCTAGAAAATGCAATAATTTTCCTTTGAAACTACAAATGCAACCATCCAAAAGGATTGATTTGGTTTCCTTGTATTACAAAAGCTCTAAAGAGTGAACCAGCAGTATTAAAACCATGCTTATGGCCATAGTTTTGATAATTGCATTAAACATAAAGCACTTATTAATAGCCATACCTCATTTATTAAAGGATTCTATAACAAGATGCAAAGAAAATTGGTTTTTAAGCTAAAACTTCAATCATGCAAGGATTCATGATGCAAACAAGATGCACTCAAATTTTTCTAGCATCACAAGTTAGTCTTTCTTGTCATGCTCATAATGGTAAACATCACTTGTCCTAATTACTGTCCTCAATAATACGACCCTTTCCTTTTGTGAACAAGGTAACAATTTTACCAGAAAGATGTTTTTCATTTCATATGATGAGAATCTATTTACTTAAACTCTGTAATTTCCAGGGTTTTCATAATTCAAAATGGTACGTGACTTGCACACCAAATGACAATTTATACCCACCAATGAATTATCAGCAACTAATCCTTCAAGGTAACAGGTTAAGTAATGAGTAACATACCCTTATGGAATCGAAGGGTCGAGTTTTGAGACCGCAAGGAGCCTTTATGGTGTTTCCATGCATAGGATCACTAACCCAAGTGACAATTTGCCCAGCCCGACGGACTGCCCTAATTAGATGGGGAAGCTTCACCCTCATGTTCTCGGCACCCATTCTTGTGATCACTGTTATCCTTCCTGTTTTGTTCTGAGGGTTCAAAATTTCAATCAGCTTAACTAGCTCATTTGGATCCATCTTATCACTAACCTGCAGCAGAAAAGCCTCTTTGTTAGTCATCTTACTCTCACCAATTTATGATCCAACTCATATTATTCCAAAAAAGACAATTGACAGAATAGGGCTCCCATTGCAAGTAATTCAGCTAAACCAAATCTAGTTGCATAAAATCCATATTTCATTACCTGGTTCATTCTTAGACAGGAGTTATGTAGCTGAATATTTAAAAAATAATAATTTAACAAAAAAAAAAAAAAGAAATGTAATTTGACAATACAGCACCTGGTCCAACATTCAGACCATTTAGTTTGGAACTTCCATGCACCTTGGGTTTTCAATGAAGATTTTGTTAACATCTTTTTATATACCTATAAGTTATTAATTACAGAGTAGACTTAGTCGTAATTACCTTAATTCCAAGAGGATTAGCCACTCCTCTCAGAAATTCAACATGAGCACCATCCAACTGTCTAGTGCGTTCCCCAACCCAAAGAAAATGAGCGGAACAATCATAGTAATGGCCAGAAGTAGAATCCAGCCTGGTAAGTGACTGTTCATATGGCAAGAGCAAGCACTCATGGGATGTCCAGAACTCAGTTGTTGTCATGATAGGATGGTCAACTGTAAGTCCAGCCGCAGCCATGAATCCAAGGGCCTCATCAACACGATGAGCCAGTTCTCGGTACCTGCCACATACCGGAAAGGGTAAATAAATTTGAAATTTAATCCATTTTGAAAGTTATGATCTCTTTTTTTTTACCATAAAAGAAGTTCAGAACAACAATCAAAACGGCGGCCCTAAAAAAAGAAGTAAATGAAGCAAAACATAATTTCAAGAGGAAAATCCACGTGTTTAATGTCGGAGTTACAAAGAGTTTAAAATCTATCACTTATGCACATGCCAAAAACAGAAGAAAGGTAAAGCAACTGATAAAAATCCAAGTCCAAAACTTGTGGATTCTTAAATAACCCATCAAAAGAACTCTCAAACAAAAATTTCAATTTCCAAAAGCAAGGGTAACTTGGACTTGGAGAACTTCTAAAAAAGGTAAAACTTGCCGCCACATTGACAAAATGGCACATATAAATTACAAACAAATTATCTACTGAAAGAACAGATATTCAAACTACAGTTAAAGCACAAAACATGACAAAACAAGTGAAAATGATCAAATATCACGAATTCCCTATTACATCAGCTTATTTTCCATCAGAAAATTCCAAGAAAATATCAACAAAATAGAAATTGAAGACTGAATCCAACCAAAGCAAAAACAGAAAAAGTAAAGCCAATTGAGACGAAATCGAAATTTTTTACCTATCTCCCTGCTCGCTGCGTTCGGTGAAATCCAAATTCCATTGAGTAACCCTTTGCATAGCAGCATAACCTCCAGTAGCAAAAGCTCTCAAAAGATTCAAGGTAGCTGCAGATTGACAGTAAGCTCTAATCATTCTCTGAGGATCAGGAATCCTAGCCTTCTCATCGAAAGCATCCCCGTTGACATTATCGCCTCTATAACTCGGCAGCTTTACTCCATTCTTTTCCTCGAACGGCTCCGACCTCGGCTTCGCAAACTGCCCTGCCATTCTTCCCACCTAAAAAGCCAAAAGAAAAAACAGAAATATTAGCAAACTCGTAAGTGAGAACATTGAAAAAAATGTTAAATCTTAAGGTCAAGTTATAAGCTTTGACCTTGACAACGGGCATTTGACCACCGAACATCAAAACGGCACCCATCTGAAGAATGATTCTGAAAGTGTCACGAGTATTATTAGCGTTAAACTCTTTGAAACTCTCAGCACAATCACCGCCTTGCAACAGGAACGCGTTTCCCAAGGCAGCTTCCCCGAGCTTTTCCTCGAGACTCCGAGCCTCTCCAGCAAAGACAATCGGAGGGAAAGCATCGAGAGTCCGAAGCACCGCCTCAAGCTCTACTTGATCGGGATATTCCGGCAACTGCAACGCCTTCTTTGACTTCCAGCTATCGACGGTCCATTTCCCGGGATCCGCATTTTTCGGCGGAGCAGTAGCGGGTGCAGTAGCAGATTTGATAGCGGCGAGTGGAGCGCTTGCTGGCTGCTTGGCCGATTTATCGGAGACGATGGGGTTCTTTGGTGAGTCAGGTGAATGGACGGCGCTGATTCGAATGACAGACAATGACTTGGGTCTAGAGAAAGGCGTAGATGGCTGAGATTGAAGGAGAGACTTGGTGGGAAGAATGGAGGAGTTGGTGAGAGCCATTTTTGGTTAAACAACGTGGCTTTCTTTGTGATTTGGAAAAGAGGTAGGTAAAGGTTTACCTGGAGAGAGAAGGAGGAAGATTCAAGAGGCTTTTATAAGTGAGCAGTGGCAATGACTTTGGTTGTGTTTTTCATTTTCGGGTTCGTGTTTCGCGTAAAGGATTAACGGAGGAGAGTGGTGTCTGGTAGAAAGGCGTGATTTGGTGGTAGTTGGGGAATAGGGTTATTTTAGTAAATTTATTTTCCTTGGGGTATTTTGGGGAAAACGTGTTTTTGTCTTTAATTTTCAGTCAGGGGCCAAACCCAAAACAGGAGGACCGGAATCCCTTTCCTTTCCTCAACTACTAATCGCCGCCACTTACATCGTATGTTGCATTGATAATTATAGACGGCGTAGAGGTGGAGCCGAGCCGAACGAGTCAGCCTAACCATTTTGCCACATTAGATATGGACATTTGCTAAAATTCTGCGATTTTTAATTTTTGCTGAATATTTGTTTTCATCCTTAATAAAAGCTAAAGGTGAGTTAATTGATTTTGAGAGAGTTGATTTGGTAAGGATGAGTACATAATAATAATTACATTCCTTTACAAAAATATAAAATAATATTATTTTATTAATGATTAAAAAATTCACTTTTTAAGATCATCATAATATAAGTTAATCTCAATTGTATTTATTGTGATTTTTTAAATCTTTATAAAGAGTATTTAAATTGTTGAGTGAATGTCTTTAATTTTAAATGTGGAATTTTCAGTTTATTATATACTCGGAACAATTTTCTGAAAACAATTTTTTTTTAATTGTTATAATCATGAACACCTCTTAAGTATAACCATCTGGTTGTATTAATTGGCTTTTAAGTTGTATTGAAATTTTATTACACTTTTAAAAGCTATGAACCTAACTTTTTCCCTTTTTGGCAACAGCTATATGAACCTAGTTGATTAATGTTATTAGCATTGATATATACACACGTGACTTCCATGCAAGAGGTGAAATTAAGTCGTACAAGCCTTTAAAGTAAGGAAAACAATTATTATTTTATATTTTATTGACAAGGTTGTTTAATTTTACCACTTAAAATATATTATTTGATTTTTTTTTTATTTAAAAATTTTCATAAATATTGTGTCAAAATTTTAATTTTATTTAAAAATAAAAAAAATTATTATGTCATGTGAATCACATGGATAGCAAATGGACATAGGCCAAAACATTGCCTAAATCAAAACAAATTTATTTTTATTAAATTGAGTTACACCTTTTATTCAGTATAAATTCCGACACATGAGAGAGAGAGAGAGAGATTAAAATACATACATAAATCTGGTTTGGTAGCCAAACACCTAACCTTTTTTAAGTTCTTAATTTATTTTTAACTTTATTATCTTATTAATTACAGTGTCGGGATCCATCCGTTAATGTGGTGATCCACGCCTTGAATCTGGGTCCCTTCCGAACGTCGAAGACCTCATGCTCCTTTTTAAGTGTATAATAATATTTTTGTCGTTTTTAGAGATAAAATATATCACTTGATAAAGCAAAATATTTTAATTTAAATATGTTTTAAAATTAATGTTTATATAAATTTATATTTTTTTGGCACAAACAAACATATAAATTTGTAAGATTAAATGTAATAATTATTTATTGCTTTAGAAATTTATGATTTTAAGGTGATTTCATTGGCTAGGCTACCAAAAGCCAAGCCAAAGCTTGGAAGTTGAATGGATGGGCTAACTGGGGTAAGGAGGAATAGTGTTTTCTCAAAAAATGGCCTTTTGCTTAACTCTTACCTAACCAGTTTTCTTCATGGTTTTAAGACTAAATACTTTATTGTTATTCAGCGAGGAAAAGTGAAAGACTGAGGAAATGATGCAATTACAAAAAGACCCCTAACCAATTCAAAAAAAGAAGAGCAGCCATGTCTTTCATTATTTAGAGTGGGTGAGGCAAGGCACTGGGCAGACGGCAAGCTAAACCTCACCTACCTTGTCCACTTCATGCAGATGCAAGCTTTTTTCCCTTAATCCTTCCTACCCCCAAAGACACGTGTTATTTCTTACGTTATCATATGATTTTTGGCATATTCTCTCTCTTCCATGCAAGACTTGTTCTGCACTTTGGATAGGTGGTGGCGTTTGTGATTTTATTGGGATCAATCAGCATCCGTAGTTTGTTGGCCTAAGGTTTTATTTTTTATTTCCTAGTTGTTGAATTCTTGAATTTGTCAATATCTATTTTTTTATTTGAAAAATATTATAAATTAAAATTTAAATATTTTACTAATAAATCATATTACTGTCATTTTATTTATTTTTTATTACATAAGGAGGGTAAAGTGACTGTCATTTTATTTATTCTTTACTATTTAGCTTAAGTTTTTTTATTACCTTCTTAAAAATTGAAGAAAAAACTAAATAATATTGTTGACCACTACGGTGAGAATAATAGTTATATTGTAAACCGTGAGTTCCATTTCAATTATTTTTGTCAGAGTAGCTCGCGCGAATTTTCACTGATGATTCAAACTATCTAAATTTGATAAGAAATTTGATTGTTTATTTTGATGAAGATGAAAATAGATAATAATTTTTTTATATAAAAATAAAAATGTGTATGATTTTAAATTTTTTATGAATATAAATATATAAATTTATAATATAGCACTTATATTATATTCAGATTTTATATATATTTATTTAGATTTAATAAATTTTTTTTATTTAATAATAATATAAATTTATTTTAAATTAATTAGAATTAGTATATTTTTATTTAAATATATATTTTTAAAAAATTTATAAATATGTAAGATAAAAAATAAAAAAAATAATTTTATTCATTATTTTTTTAAAAAAATAATGGATATAAAAATTATCTATTTCCAATTAATACTCATAAAAATAAAAATAAATTTAAAATACTCATTATGTATGAAAGTATATACATAATATAAAAAATATTTAATCCGATTCATGTCTTACTCATTTATGATCTTTATTAAAATATTTTATGAAGTGAAAAAAAGAAAATGACATAGAGGTTAATCTTGATATATAAATGTCTCATGATAAAAAGAGAAGAATATCAAAATGTGGCAAAAAACAAAAAAATAGTTATTAAAAAAGACAAACTTTTTATGAAAAAAAATTTTGTAATTTTTAAATTATCATTAATATTTTTCATTTTAGATTATATCATGTTTGGCTCCTAGAAATTTTTTAAAAATTAATATAGCATTTATATTATAAATTTATCCATAAAATCATTTTTAAGGTTTTGTCAATTTAAGTCGGATTATGGATAAATATTTTAAAACTTGGCCAAATTATTTAATGAATAAAATATACTTTTTTAATTTTAAATTTAAAATATATTTGAAATATTAATATTTTAATATATTTAAAAAAATTTCAAATCTATTTTACTTGACAGGCCAAGCCGGGCTTTAAACAAAGTTTTCCAAAAAGCAATTTTTTTTGTCCGATTCAATCCATAAATATTTTGATAGTATTAAAAAATATTTAATATAATATCTTCTAATCGTATGCCAATATTTAATTAAAGATATTTGTCCCATTTTGAAATTCTTCTCTTTCTCTTTTTTGGTCATGTTGCATTCACCCCAGTTATGGTCTACCGTCAGCTCCTTAATTACAACTTAAGGGACTGTTTGAATTTGTGCAAATCTGACTGATGAGTACATGGTTTTTTTTTTAAATTTAAAATAGATAAATTATTTAATTTTTTTAATTAAGATAATATGTATTATATCTGATAATTTAAAATAATTAATTATAAATTATATATTTATATATTTATATATTTAAAATCATTTAAATAAGTGATAAATGTTAAAATTTGAATCTAAAATTTTATCATAAAAATTTTTTAATCAATCAAATCAATCATTTAATCTCAAGTACAGCTGTCTCTCCTATGGAGTTTTTGTCTTCTTTTCATTTCCAAAAACTCTTTTTATTTTAATAGTATTATAATCTTGAAATATAAAAATATTTTTATTGGAATTGTAAAACATAGTCAAAAGTTGTTAGAATATTTTGGATAGATTTTTTATCAAACATTGATAATTATATTAATTAACTCAAGGCTGCGCAAAACCCGTGGAATTGAGGTGAAAACAATTATATTAATCAGTAAAAGGAAGTTGGTATTAGTATATTAATTAATTTTCTCTAGTTCCTCACTTCCTCTCACCTCACTGTTTCTTATTTTAATCACTCCATAGTATATAAAAAATAATTATATAAGCTAAAGAAAATTAAATGCTAACTTTTAATATGAATAATTTAGGAGTTAATGAATGAAAAAAAAAATGAACAGATATTTATCAACGAAGGAATGCCAAGTCTAAAACACATGACAGGAAAAGCCTTTTGTCATTAAACCCCTCGCCATTTAATTGAAGGAATGCCATGTTTTTGCATTTGTGAAGAAAAAATGAGGAACAACGATCTGAGGAAATAAATTGAAGGAATTGCAACGGGGTTTGCCGGAACAAGTGAAGAACAAAGATCCAAGGTGGGGGCAGACAGGTTTTGGCCCAAAAAATGAGTGGGCCGCTGAAAGTTACAGAGAGTAATGTCTGGTTCTCCAGTGCTTCATGTACAACCACGTTATTTGATCCCAACCAAAAATAGAACCGTTTTAATTTTTTAATTCCACCAGAACATTAACTAAAAGCTTAAGCCAACAATTTTCAATTATAAACTAAAATAAAATTTCTGAGTTGGTAAATAAAAAATATTTTACTTATTAAAATTTAATTTGTCAGTAATCTATTTTAATGATAATCTGTAAATTAATCTATAAAAAAGCCAAACGAATTTGAAAATTACAAATGGGACCACTATATGGAATGATCCCAAAAGCAAAATGGATGCTTTTCATTTTTTCCTGATATAAGAGAAAATCCCCAATTTATCCATGCAAATGGAATATTTGTGAGGGGTAGACAAGTCATGTCAAGTTAGGAGAAATTTTTAGCTAAAGGTTGTAAGGCTGTGTTTGTCTGGTCTTAAAACATGGGCATGGCAGTGTAAGATAGATTCGATGATTGAGGGACCACTCTTTGTAATGAGGGAGGATTAAGGAAAGGCATCTTACCATCTCAACTTTTTTCCGAAGACAAAAATATCAAGAGTAGAGATCGAAAGTTTCATAATTTCTCTGCTTTTTTCAATTTTAAAATCGAAAACATTCAAGTTCTATTATAAATTCTTACACTTACGTATTATAAAATATATTCGATACATTTTGACATCTTATATATATATATATAACATGTTTATATATTAAATATATCAAAATTTATTTTTTATTATATAAAGTTATCAAATTTTGAATTTTATTTATTAAAATTAAAAATGTAGTATTTTATCAATAACTTATACGATTATTAATAATATAGATAACAGAATGCTTCTTATGATTTCTACTTAAATACGACAATATTCTTCATAAGACGAAAATTGCTTATTTTCTTTCCTTCTTTCAAGCCAAAAAAACTTATTTTTTTGATTGCATGGGAAAAGATAAAATAAAGGGGTTAGGTCTAATCACGTTTGTCATTTTATTTCATAATAATCAGCAACACATGTTTGACACCAACTCTTAATTAAAAAAAATCTTTTAGATGATATTGTAAACAATTACTTGAGCTATAATAATATTATCAAAATTATTTATAATTTTGTAGTGAAAATATAAAGAAATTGTTACAATTATCATATTCATATATATATATATATTGATTGTTTTAATCAAATAAACTCACGGAAATTTATCTTTATCATCTCAAAGATCTCTCTTTTACTAATCTTTTGTGGATCAGGGTAAGTACCGAAGTGTGATCTGCTTTGAAGCTGGGTGCGGGCACATGGGGTGGTTACTCCGACGAAGGGTTTGTCATTTTGCCCGAGGAAGCGGTCTCAAAACTCAAAACACACATATCTCAAGAGGCTGAGCCGAGGTCCGAGGGAGGGAGCTTTGAGCTAAGTAAGTAGTCAAGAATACAAGATCCAAAGACAAAAGTCACATGATTACTGTGACTACACTAAGTTTGTTGTCTTCAACTATAATTCCAAATCTTACTACAAGTGCTAATATTATTTTGAGCAAAAAGAAAAAAAAAACTCTTATTATTAAAGTAGGTTTACATTTGGTAGCAGAGAGAATTGTGACGTTGAAGTGAAGTGCCTTTTGGCGAATCAGCTATTTTACAGTTTAATTGATATCAAGATAAGAAACCATGGTTAGGCTTAAAAAATGAGCTCTTTTGGTCATAAAAGAAAACCCATTTTAACCATTGTCATTTAAACAAAAAATGATTAATAATTTGATTAAGCAACTAGAAATAGAATAATCGTGGCTAAACAAACAGCCTCACTAATACCTATAACTTCTATTAACAAAAAATAATATTAATAATTTGGGGTTTTGCAGGAGTTTATTTCATGTTACTTTACAACTTCAATGGCAGGATGTTAGCTTGCAGGAGTAGTATAATAATGCTACTAGTCGTAATAATGTTGGTACTTGAATGTGGGCTCGGGGCAAAGGCCGTTGTTTTTTGACAAAGTAATGGTTCCGATTTCTGATTTGGGTGTACGGCAGGATGCGTTCAGGCAAAATAAAAAGGGTAATTCAGGTGCAGGTTGCAACAAAGAGAGCGTAGACAACACGGGGTTTGGCATGAAGATGAAAAAAAGCTTATTTGCCTTTTCGCAGAGAGTAGAATCATGGGGCATTTACAAAACCCTTTCTTTAAAAAAAAATATATTTTGGTGACGTGGGAAACCAGGGAGCAAAAAATTGAAAAGGACCAAGGGCCACTCAAACGAAAAGCTAGGTACAATTTGCATGCAAAGTATGAGGCAGCCTGGCGTAAGTTGCCAAAAGAACTGGCCCATCTCGCATAAAAGTCCAAGTGGGCCATCTGGTTATGGCTCCTGTTTCACTTTAGCATTGCAATAGGAAGACATTTCATGAAAGTCTCATCCTATGCCTATGCCTATCATTCTGTTTCCAGAGTTAAATGACAAAATCAGATTATGAACTCACTTGTGATTGATTTTATCAGCACAGTACACTATACAAAGGCATTCTTTAGATAATCAGGAAAATAAAAGATACCAACAAACCACACAACTTCAAAGTTCACAATGACACATAAGATATATTTTAATAGAAACATACGGTTTCATATTTAGAAGCATCCATATCTATGCACTAGAAAAGAGAGGCAGCATGGAACCAAAAGAAGAACCTAAGGGGATAAAGGCCAACCAAACATTCCAGCATCCTCACCAATTCCTTCATAGAACCTCAGTTCAAGTTCCTCCATTCTCCCCTCATGGTGCCACACTCCATCGTAAATATCATAATCATCATAGTCATCCATTTCGAACTCCCAGGCCAAATACTCCGTACTATCAGAGTAGTCTGAGCATTCATCCCATTCATCCATCTCATAGCAGTCCATGACGAGGGGCCCCAAAACCTTCAATTTTGGGAACTTTTCCTTCATGAACTGATTATCAAGTTTCACATCCCAGCAACCTCTTAAATCCAAAAATTCAAGCTGCGGACAGCTAGAAAGGATGTTCAGAACACTTCCGGTGCTAATAAGATGATAAGCCATCTCAAGGTGTTTGAGCATAGGCATCGTAGCAGCTATGGCATTTGCCTCATCATCCTGCGAGAGCTTGCCTGCTGCATCCAGTGGGTGCATGTTACGGCACAGACTAACAAGCAGTTTACAGTGCTTTCCAATAGCCTCCAAAGCATGGGCACCAATTTTGCGACAGTAACTCAAATCCAAAAAAGTGATTGTGGAAAGCCTTCCAGCAGTTTGTTCAACTATTGAATCACTAATTTCACTTCTCGGCAGTCGCAAAGCCCGAAGGGAACCAGCACTTGCAAAAGCAAGGAAAAAAATATACTGTATCACTTAAAAGTGTCCATTGAACAATGATCCCTAGAGGAGAGGGAAAGTGTGATCCCGTGTTTCTTAAAGATATTACAATTGTCTCATTGGAAATCTCAACATGAATACTGATTCAAACTAGTAAACGTGCCAGCTAACCAAAAGAGAGCATCAAGACTATATATGAACCGATTATATTTTAATATAATCTAACTCAATAAATCACAAAAGCAAACCACGCATTTAAGAATTAACGATAGAAAAAGTTCATAATTGAGCAGGGACTCGTTACATTACTGACAAATGCAATTAGCAAAAAGGGTAAGAGCAGGTGAACTTACTTCTCTGTGATGAACGAGAAAATGGTATCATTCTGAAGGCCTGAAACACATAACTTGCGGAGCGATCCACTGCTTCTTGTGATCAGCATTTGAAGCATCTGATCAAGATGTTTGGGCTCGCATCGATTGCTCCATTCTTCAATGTCTATCTCTTGCCAACAATAGGGACCTGTCACTGCCTTTCTCCAGGATTTGCAGACACAGGGAATGACTGTTAGTACCTCTTGTAGGGACAGATTGCTGAAAATTATCCCCAATGCATCAGGAATTAGTTCATCCCAGGGTCGAAAGGCACTTTGCTCTTCCATCCGATCTTCACTCAGGTAATGATGGGCATAAGAGAAACACAAAAAGCAACTTCAATAATTATAATAAAGATGTATATGGTATTAATAATCACCTTCCACAAAAGTAAAAACCGACGGCGAGGAAAATTTTGTTAAAATTAAAAACTAAGAAGAAAAAAAAGAAAAAAAAAAGAGAAAAAATATAAAAAATTCCACAATAATAGAACAAGAAATGCAGAGATATAAAATGCAGTAATTGGGAGATCAAGAAAGTTTAGATGGTACCAAATCAACATATAAAATAAAGTAACACAAATTTTTTATCCACACTCAGGAAAAAAAATACAACTTCAGAAAAGAAGAAAAAAAATTTTATCCTAACAAGTTACAAACAGAAACAAAAGGAAAATTTTCAAAGTAAGGAAAAAGATGATTATGATATAATTGTAGTAAAAAAAAATGAAACAATTCTATAGATCCAAAAAGTCCAGAAAAAAGAACACTTTCCTGCATAATTTTCAAGCATGCCAAGCATAGTCACAGCTTACAAAGGGAAAGAAAGGAAACAATAAAGTACAATAACAACTTGTCTGGAGGAGTTAAAACTAATATGCTTAATTGGTTGGTAAAAAAAAAATCAGAGTGAAAGAAACGAAAATTTACTCTTTGTGTTTAGGATCTAAGAACCAGCTCATTCATAATTGGGAAACCGCATAAACATGAAACAGTAAGAGCCCAAGTACTCAATTTCTGTTCTTTTGCTCAAGTTTTTAAAGAAACAAACAAAGAAGGAACCCAAAAAAAAGGATGGAAAGAAGAAAATCGAAGATGGGGTTACCTTAATTCGTCTTTTTGCCGCGGTTTGCAATTTGGATTATGCAAAAGAGTCCCAGTTTATCTGCCTTAAAAGGCCGGGTTAAAAAGGATAGGAAAGAGAGAAAAGAAAAGAAAGCAACAAAAACAAGTCTATCACCCACCTAACGAAGGCATAAAATGAAACCCAACAAAGAAGAACATGAACCCAAGAGTCAAAAAAAAAAAAAAGGAAAAGGAAATATTCTGGGTATGTATTTGGTTAAAACTCAGGAAAGCTGGGATATATAGGAATAAACATATACTCTTTAGTCACAGAAGAAGATGAGAATCGATGGAGGGGTAGCTTTTACTGTGAAAATTGGGTTGTTAATGACAGATTTTGAACAGAAAATGCATTGGTTTCATGCCATACATTTATGTCTTTTTGAGCTGAAAGTGAAAGGCAAGTGTTGAATATGACTGAAGCATTAGATATTTTGTGTGCGTTTTAAGCAAGAGAGTAATTGGGGAGGTGAAACCGACACTGAGTGTCTTAGTTGGTTGATGATGGTTAGGCTTGAGGGGTGAAAAAAATTGAAAAAATTGAAAATTAATTTAAAATTATATTATTTAAATTGGTTTAAATTGTTTTTATTTTATTTGATATAGATTAAAATTTGATATTAAATTTATATATATTAAATCTAGATTAAATTTTGTATTGAGATGTGAAAAATAAAAAATTTAAATTAAATAGAAATATATATTTTTATTAATTTTTATATATTTTTAAATTTTTTAAATTTTAATATAAATTAATTTAAATTATTAAAATTTTTATTAAAATAATATATAAAAATTTAAAATTAATAAATTAAATTAAATCGATAAAATTTAATTTGAATTAAATAAAATTTAAAAAAATTAAATTAAATTTTAAAAATTATAATATTACATATTATTTAAAACTTAAATTAAATCTAATCATATTGTTTTCATCTAATTAAGCTGACGTATTTTTTTTTTTTTATATCTTATGAGCCTACAAATTACAAAGGGTTTTAAATTTATTAACCGATGGCCCGGCTTTTCAAAGCTCCTGGTTCCAATGCTATTTGTATTGGAAATCAGTCTTGACTTTTTTAATAAATCTTTGAAGCAAACCAATTTTTTTCTCTTCAGCTACAGAGTACCGACACCGTTTTGTAAGTTGTTTGCAGATGAATTTTGGGAAGAGAGTTAATTCAATTGGCAGTTCATGGGTAAGGTTTTAGTCCTCGATTATAGGTGTTAGTTGGAGTAGCCACATCTCAAATACATTTTTGAATTTAAATTTTGGATGATTGATTTGAAATGAATTTAAAATTTAAAATAATTAAAATTATTTCAATTCGATCATTTATTATCTTATTTATGCCTAGATCCTGACCTGGAATGATCATGTACAAAATCATAAACTACCCCATTTAAATATTTTGTTAGTTATTTTTTTTGGACTTCAATATTTAAGAATAAAATATCGAATATCTTTTAAAATTATTATATATTGATTAAAATTTATATTTAAAAAATGATGATTTAAAAAATTTATTCGTTTAATTTTTTAATAAGATAATAATAAAATTAAAAATTAAAAATAAAGAAATAAGGTGGAGGGTGACATGAAAATGTTATAATAAAGAGAATATATGATTTGCGTAACAGCTGGTAATTTGGTTCTTGTTAAAGTTCAATCTCCACGTCATGGCAGTTTTACACGTGCAGAAATCTAGCCTTATCTTGGAAGCTGACAGACTGACAAAGATGGAATTGGAATACTGGATTACTCACAATTAAACCTCTTGGCTTCGCCATTTAAAATTTGGAAGATCGGAAAATGGGTGGCGCACAGATTACTATCACAAATCAAAATAATAAATAATTTAAAACCAATCCCAGCTGGCAGTGTAGCTTTAGTTATTTACAGGGGAATATGGAAAACATGAAAATTGATGGGAAAATGGTTGAAAACAATAAACGGATATGACAATGCATCATATCGAAATAAATTTTTTTATCTTAAATTTAATTTAATTTTATATTTATAAAATTTAAATTTGATTCGATTCAAAATTTTTTTTATTTTTTTATATTTAAATTCGATTCAACTTAATATTATATAAACATATTGATTTGATTTGAATTGAAATTAATAAAATATTATTTTTAAATATAATTATATAAATAAAAAATTAAATAATTAATTAAAAAATATTTTTTATATAATATCGAATCAAGTTGGATCAAATTTGATTAAAATTCAAATTCGATCCGATCTTGATTTTTTCTTAACATTATTCGACCTTACCCAAAATTAGATTTTTCAAAAAAAAATTAACCCTATAAGATTGGATCAAGTCAGAACCCATCAAAAGCGGGTAGGGTTGCCAACCCTAATAATAAGCCATCCATTAAAAAATGAAAGAACAATGCTAACCATAATTTTTTTTTACAAATAACATTGAAAAACATTTCATATATTGTAATTGGATTAATATCACAAATAATATTAAAATTATAATAAAATATTTAATGTAGTATTTTAATTTAAAAAATTTTTAATATGATATTTAAATTAAAAATTTATTAATTAATATGATATTTATCTATAACATAACTAATTTTAAAAAATAACTCGTAACAAACAAATTACTTTTAGTATTATATTAATTAATAAATTTATAATTTAAATATTACATTAAATATTTTTAATATTTAAAAATCACATTAATATTTAATTATAATTTAAAAACTTTTTAAAAGTTAATACATTTATAATTAAAATATCATATTAAATATTTTTAAAATTAAAATATCATATTAAATATTTAATTATATTTTAAAAATTATTCACAACATTAACTCAATATAATTTGTACACGCACAAATAATTACAATTGTGACAAATAATATCGGAAAACTTTTTCCCGGTTACATTATTATAGCCACATCATAAGATAACATTGTTTATTTGACTTCAATCCTTTTGCTTTATTTGTGATTAGTATGATAATAAATAATTAACAAAAGTACTCTCAATATTGAGATACCTGAATCTGCAAAAACCAAGGGTGAACAAAAGTCAAATTCTCTTAGACTCTATTTAGTAATCATGAAATTTATTTTTAGAAATTATTTCTCTTAGACTCTGTTTAGTAAATCATGAAATTTATTTTTAGAAATTATTTTTTTATGTTTTTCGATGTTTGGAAAAATAAAATTATGATGATTAATCAAAAATAATTTTTGATTAACAAAAAATCAAAGCACAACATGCGTAAATGATTTTTTTTTTTTTTAAGCGGAAGTAAGATTGAATAATTGGTCGATTTGATTAATTCAATTTAAAAAAATTAAAAATTGATTTATCCAAATTAATTTATAGATAAAATTAAACCGATCCAATAGTAATAAAAAATTGAGAAAATCAAATTGATTTAATCTTGTTAGTTTTGGTCGATTTTTTTTGTTCTAATCGATTTTAGTTTTTGATCACAAACGTCTTCAATAATTCCTTCATAAAAATTTATAAGGTGATTAATCAAGGCATTTTTGACAAAAATACTTTGAATAATCTTTAAAAAAAATTTAATAAGGTTATTAAAGTCGTTTCTGGCTAACAATCCCTTCAATAATCCCCTCATAAAATTTTATGATGTAATTACTAAAGACGTTTTTACTAAAAATATTTTCAATAATCTCGAAAAAAATTTTTAATGGGGTTATTGAAGGCGTTTCTTGCCAAAAACGCCTTCAATAATTTTCTCATAAATTTTCATGATGCCTTCAATATTCAAAAGAGATTATAGTAATTATTTAGGATTTATTATATTGCTCACTAATTTAAAGCTTGTATATTGCTCATTGACTTAGAGCTTATGTATTGCTCACTGACTTAGATTTTATAAAGCTATGTGTTGCTCACTGATGTTATTTGATACATAGACTTACTGTGTATTGCTGATTGATTTAGAGCTTGAGACTAAATTTACTGTGTATGAAGCTTGTGTTTATGAAGTTTGTGTTTAGATTTTATGAAGCTTATGTTTATGAATTGTATGAATTACATAACACATACAATACATAGCAAATTACAATCCATAAAGACTAATTCTCAAACAATATTCAACAAGCAATAACAAATATCTTAACCAATTACAGCACTTAAATTTCAAGTCTCAAACATTAATATCCAATATGTAGCAGGCAACAATGGGCAATGGGTAGCAGCAAGCAAAAAGCAACGAGCAACGGGCAGCAACACCCTTTTAAAATTTTAGCAATAAATAAACAAAAGCAAAACACAATTCATTGAAAAATTATTCCATTTAAAACTGTCTAAAAGAGAAAGATTTAATTGTATGGATCACATTCAACGTAAGTAATGCCAATATTACCTTAATTGATTAATAAACTTTACTAATCAATTACGAGATCCAATCCAATCTTAGATAAATTTAAAAGTATATTAAAAAATAAAAAAAACAGTTTTAACTAAAAGATTTAAAGAAATAAGTATTGAAAAATAATGATATAAATAAAATAATTATCCAAATCAATCTTGTCAAGTTGTTTCACTTCATCTTTTAAGGCATTTGGATCGAAATATTAAATTTTACGTAACCAATCTTGAGCACAAAGAAGAGCTTGAACAAGTTTAGGAGTTACAAAACTCTTATATGTATCTAACATATGAGCACCAGTGCTAAAAGTAAATTCAGAAGCAATTGTGGATATAGGAACTACCAACGCATCACAAGCTAGATGGAAAAGGATAAGAAACCTATGCCTATTAAGTTTCCATCAAAGAAGAACATCAAAGTCCACTCTCTCCTCAATAGCATCAAGCTGCTTATTCAAATATTTATCTAACTCTAATTTATTCTCCTTTCTACTTTATTGTTTCCTAAACCTTTTAAATTTAGCAATAACAGCTTGTAAGTCATATAGGTCCACAATTTCAAGTTCATTAGTGAATAGTGGTGGTTGACTCGCATGGTTATTATAACCAACTTGTTTAGATTGAGATTGTAACATGTTTTTGTATTCATCAAACAACTCAACTATTGTTTCTTGCACTTTTTTAATCATCACTGAAGTTTGATCATAATAATACATTTTCATAAAGCAAAACTCCACAAATGCAATTTTTTTTTGAGGATAAAAACAGAAGCAATATAAAGTAACATATTCATTTTTTCTACATTCTCTCAATACTTGTTATACTTATCATTCATTCTTTTAGCCATTGCACTAAACTCAACATCAGCATTTAATTGTCAATCTTGCAAAATGTCATAAACACCACATATAACTTTAAAAAAAATTGTTAGTGATGACATATGTAGAACTCAAAACTCTAACTGTGAGATTGTAAAATTTTTACAAGAAAAGGCATAATTTTCTAACACTGACCCAATCATTTTAATTAAGCACCCCATCTTCTGAAAAGAGTTTAGTTTTGTAATAAAGATCAACATCATTAAATGCCTCAAAAGCTATTTCAAGTTTTTGAGCTTGTTCTAACATCAAGAAAGTAGAGTTTCACCTAGTGCTAACATTCAAGCATAACAAGCTCTTACTTGGAATATGTTCATTGACAATACACTTTTTTAAACTTGGCTAACCTAGAGGGTGATTGTCTCACATATCTAACTACCTTTTTAACACGAGCAACTGAATTAGTCAATTCCTTTAACCTATCACTCACAATAAGGTTAACCATATGAGCGATGTATCTTGAATGAAGATATTTACCTCCTACAATACTACTTCTTGCATTATTAAATTTTTTTCTCAAGTATGAGATTGCAACATCATTAGAACTAGCATTATCAATAATGATAGTGAAAACTTTATCAATCCCCCAATCATGCAAACATTTGTCAATTACCTTACCAATAGCCTCACTTTAATGACTAAAAATGGGACAAAAGTTTAAAATCCTTTTGTTAAGTTTTCAATCACTATCTATAAGATGAGCAGTAAGACACATATAATTGACTCTTTGCAATGAGTCCATATGTTAGTGGTTAGAAATACTCTCGTAGTGTACGATTTCAAAAATTACTTTAGGAATTTTTTTTCATCTACATAAATTTGATAGTAATATTTAGCAATAATCCATCGTGACAGCATATGAAATCTAGGGCAAGCTATAGACATGCAACACCTAAATTCTTTAGCTTCAACAAATCTAAAAGGTAATTCATTTATAATAATCATCTCAGCCACACCTATCTTAATAGCATCTTGATTAAACTTTCAAGTACCCAAAAATGGATCTCCTTTTGAGCTTAAAACTAATTCCGTTTGGGAAGGATTGCCATAGCCACTAACATGAGGAAATTTAGTACAAATACCCATGTGATTCTTTAATGCAGAGCTTTCATTTTTTTTTAGAGTGAGCATAAAATTCTCTGTCATAATAATTGCATCTAGCTTTGAGATCACCATTGTCATTAGTAAATTTGATGAAATGATTTTATGCCTCTGACCATTTGTTAGGTCATTTCCTTTTCGGTTTTGTACTCCAACTTCACTTTTTGTTCTATGTGTGTCTCATTCACCTTAAGGGATTGATTGAGTATCTGCTTGTGTAGTATATCTATCACTCATCTTCAACAAAAAAATAATAAAATGTAAGTAAGTTTCAAGAGTAAACATGACTTATACAAACTCAAAAAATAATAAAATAAATGTCCAATCAAATATACATTACATGCTAAAAATAAATGTCCAATCAAATAATAAAATAAATGTCTAATCAGATAACAAAAAATCTTTATAATTGGATAAAGTCAATCTTACAAGAAAAATTTGATGACAGTATAACGAATATTACAGCATTACAAAAGTCAAATTCCAAATATTCACCCTTATCAGAAAGTAATTTTAAGCTAGCTTGCTAACTTCAAAACATGAAATATTGAATAGGAAAATTATTGATATGATGGTTCAACGATCGCTAGAAATCTAGGACACGGGATTGAGTCCCAAAGCATTCTTTGAAAACTTCACTATGACACAACAAATAGGCTTAAAAGCTTCTAGACCTGACTATAGTAAAACCTCTAAAGGCTGATAGATCTAAACCTTATTACAACCCATTATTTCAAGCACTAAAAAAATGGGCAAAGAAGGATTAAAGATCTTACTTTGAGTTACGTTTAGGGCTATGTGGTGGAAGACAGAAGATCGAGGAAATGAAAAGCTGTGACTAGTGAGAAACGTCGATTGAAGGTTGCGGTGGTCTTTATTGGTCAGTGGTTGTCGATTGAACCTTGCACCTTCGAGATCGACCAGAAAATGTTTGCAAGGTGTGGATATCAAATTTGTCCAAAAAAAATAAAAATAATATTATTAAATACAAAATATAAAAAAAAAACAAAAAAAATGAGAGATGGTAGTGGTGCCTTCTCTGGCACCATTGCCACCATATCCTACCACCCATCTCTCACCATGCCCTACCCTCCACTCTTCTGATCACCTAACCCTACCACTATCATATATTGCCAAAAAAAAAAAAGAGGCATGAAAGTTGTGCTTGCACCCCTATGCCTAGCCCTGTGCCATTCCTTAGGCACGGGGCACTACCAGACCTCTATAAATAGAGCTTCTGGTCGATCAAAAATAAAAAGGGAAACAAAAGAAAAATGAAAGAGAGATTCTACAAAAAAATAAAAAAAAATCAACAGTCCCCCTATAGAAAGGAACCCAAAGTCGAGCTGCCTACAAAAAAAATTAGTTTAAAAAAAAAAGAGTCAGAATATAAAAAAATATAATTTCAACCGAAACTTTGAAAGCAGATCTAGGGAAGTGGAGACTCTTTTTGGTGAAAAAGAGGTCGGATCTGTGTTCAAGAGGACGAAAAAATTTTATGGGTATTTTAAAAAATTTTTCGACATCAACGATGACGGTTGGAGTTCACCACCGGTAGGACCACGGCGATTGTCGCGATGGACGGCCACTAGCCCCAGGTTGGCTGAAAAAAAAAAGAGAAAAAAAAGGTTTTTTTTTTTTTTTAAGAAAGAAGAAAATGATTGAAAAAAAAATTTGAGCTTTTATATAAGCTGTCAATAGCCAAAACGACGTCGTTTCAATAAATGCTCAAAACGACATCATTTTAAGCACCTAGGATCTTAGCATCAACCCGTAACCTGACCCGGGGTCTGGCACCTGACCTGTAATCCGTTTCTCCATCAGCATGTAATCAGTCTGACTGAATCGAAATTGAATCGTTGAACCTGAACCTAACCGGTACCAAATCGCACGTTTACTGGACCTTTGACCGGTTCGATTCAGGTAAAAAAAATTTTTTTTTAGATTTTTTTAAAATATTATTTTTGTTATTTTAATTATTATTCTTAATATTTATGCATGTAAAAATTGTTTAAATTTATCAAAATAAAATTTTATTGTTTTATAATATTAAATATAAAAAAATAAATAGTAAAATATATGATAAAAGTTTTTTATAATTTTATTAACTTTAAAATAAATCTTTTAAAATAACAAAGACTAATAAAAAATGAAAATAATAAAGACTAATAAAAAATTTAGGAAAATAAAATTTTATCTGATTATGAGATTCAAAGATATTTCGAGTAGTGATGCCTACGAAATCTCTATGTAAGAAGATTTTTTTTAAAATACTACCAGTGTATTGGAGTATTTATAAAATTTTTTTCAATACAATAAAAATTTTCTTTTTTTAAAGTAATAAATAAAAATTGATTAATATATTAAAAATATAAGTAATAAAAATGAGAAGAAAAGAAATTTTATCTGATGATGAGATTCTAAAAGTATTTCGAGTAGAGATGCTTTAAGAAATCTTTAGGTGAGAAGATTTTTTATAAAATAGTACTGGTGTATCGGAATATTTATAGAAAATCTTCAATATAATTAAATTCATTTTTCTTCAAAATTTCAATTAAAAATAAATATTAATAAAATAATTAATAAATTTTCTAACGAATGAGAATAAAATGTGTGCATCAATATGGTAACATTTTGCATTGTATGCATGATATTTTTTACGAAAAGTAAATTTAAGCCTCCGAGGATGGGATTCTAAGGTATTCCGAGAAACGATGCTTAAGAAATCTCTAGGTGAGAAAAAGTTATTCTAATGTTACCAACGTACTAGAACATTTTAAGAATTATTTCAAAAAAAAGTTTTAATTTATTTTTCTCGAGAATAAAATTTTTTTTTCTAATAAATAAAAAATCAAGGAAATTATTTCGAACATCGAAAATTGGACTATTTTTATCAAAATCAAAGGATAACACGTTGTTAATTGGTACCATTTTTAATGGGCACTGTAGGGGTGCTAATGCTTCCCCACGCGTAATCGATTCCCGAACCCAGATTGTTTCACAGACCGTAAAATTATCTTTTTAATAAATTTTAATTAATTTTAAAACTTTATTAAAATGATATGTTTTAGTAGATGGTCAATCGTACCTAGCCAAAAAAAGATTGGTGGCGACTCCATTATTTTCTATTTCGTTTCCAAATTCGTCTGGCAAACACAAAATAATTATGACAGCTTGGCAACTTCACTGGGGATCTACCATTTGTTTTCGAGAGTTAGGCCATAATTAACTACTTGTTATCCTCAAATTTTGATTTTAACAGTTTTAATCAATTTCAATAAAAAAGGGTAAAAAAAAAATGAAACAAATCAAAAATAAAAAGCAAAAAAAATTCACACACATTTCTTTTACTATGCCTCTTATGTTTTATTTTTTTGTATATATTACTCTCAATAAATTAGGATATATTTGCACACAATGGCACGATGCATCTCATGCATGAGCTCTATACCCGGGCTCTGTCCTTTATAAGAGAAAATAAAGTACATATGCTCTCGTGAGGTGATAACTTTCGCAATGGCAAGCGAAACACTTTCACTCGAATTGAATCATTTTCGTTCGTAGCCTGTAATGGGTGAGGATCGAGGTGCCTTACTAGTCAAATATGAACGATAGTGAGGAACAATTTGGGAACTTTTAGACATTATCAATCCAAATCCAACATATAATAAGCATAGGAAACCAGCCTTTTGTAGAGCCTTGTTTACCTTATTGTAAGAGAAATACCTAAGAATAAAAGTTATGCGTAATACAAAATAAAACAAAACAAAAAAATCTTAAAACATAAAAAAAAAATACTAAAAAATAAAAAATATTTTTTTTCAGACCACACTAACTCAATTTTGTTTCATTTTTTTTTGCATTAATCATATCATATAGTTCTGCATTGAGATATTTACTCTAAGACATATTTCTTCTAAGAAGTTTTCATGGATCCTATAGAGCTACAAATTTGCTCATCCTCAGTCAGTGTGCCATGTGAGTTATCTAATGAAGTACATGTTTAGTCGAAAGAAGTTTAATAAAAGAATAAAGATTATTTGTCTACTGGTTATGTGTCTGAATTATTTGAGAAAGTGCATTTAGATCTTACACAAAATGATTTAAAAGAATTAGCTACTGTCTGGGGTCAGTTAAGTGAAGAAAGAAAAGAAAGCTTTTGTAAAAAGTATAGGCAGATTACATCCCTCATTTCAGTAGTGATCAATGAACAGTTGGTCAAGGTAGCTATATAGTTTTAGGATCCATCCTATAGATGCTTCACTTTTAATCAGGAAGATTTGGTGCCAACTATCGAAGAATATTCGATTTTGCTTGGGATATAACTACAGTGTCTAAATAAAGTATTCAATCGAAAGCCAAAATCATGTTATCGTAAAAAATTAGCCAAGCTTATGAGGGTTAAAGTAGAAACCATTAATTCTTTTGTGAAGCCTAAAGGTGAATATCTTAGCATTCATTAGGATTTTCTTCAAAACTTCATTCAGGAGCATTTAAATGATGATCAAGGTATGACTGTGTTTGCTCTAACATTGTATGGCATGATAATCTTTTTGAAAATTTTGAGTTACATTGAGATAACTGTGATAATTTTTTTCGAGCAAATTGAAACCCAAGTAATTACTCTCGCTCCAGCAGTCCTAGTCGAAACCATCAAGTCATTGAATTTCTGTCGACGGAATAAAAAAGGACGATTCATAGGATGTGCATCTCTATTATACATATGGGTTAGAAGTTATTTCAAGTGTGGGATGAGTGAATTTTCAAAATCATATCTTCGAAATAAGGCACCAATCGAAGAGTTTTGTTAAAGCCAATGGCTGACATTGAAGACTAATAAAGAATGGGTCTTTTTCTTGTGAATGCTTACTAGGGATGAAATCGAATGGATGGTGCCTTGGATGCCTCATGTGCCCTTGTTGTATCATTGAAGAAATAAGCCATGGATACCGTTATTAGGACTATGGGGTGTTATAAGTTATGCTCTATTAATGGTGCTTAGGTAATTTAATGCAAAGCAGTTTGTTCCTACTACTCATGACCTGATCCAAGTAGAATTCATTTATAAGGAATTG